TAGACCTGCCACTTGCTACATCCCATGCTGTGAATGGTCAGTACTTGAGTCTAAAGCTGGAAAAAAACCCTAAAATTGCAGTTAAAAAAAAAAAAAAAAGGGCTTGCTTGGCAATCGAGGGTAGAATCCAGTGTTCTAAGTAGTATGGCCACCCTGACCCCAGGAGATCTTGGGCAAATCACTTAACCTCAGTTTGCCCATGTGTAAGACAAGGGAGTTACAAGGCTGCTTTCAAGGTCTCCTCTTGCTCTCCTGTTCTCTAATGACTCTAAGATGGAATTCTGGGGAACACACTAGAAGTTACTTTGACTTTAAAGGTTAGAGGGGAGAAAATAGAGCATGGTGTCAGATACATCAATGCCACCATGTCCCAGGCTGCACAGCTTAATGCACTTCTTAAGATTAAACCAAGCAGACTGCCTCTAATGCTGTTGAAATGTCAGCCTTCAGTTCAGGGTGGTGGTAGACATCTGCATTACTTCTGTTTTTTAAACAACGTTACTCTGCCAAGAATGAATCTGTGTCATGATCTAATGGCTCTTGTCATTTTAGTGTACTGACCAAGGAGGAAAAATGAAAGTACTTTATGTGGAAAACCAGATAAGAAGGTATTTCATAACCCAGAGTGCAAGGCTGTCTGGAGTATAATACAGATCTATCAGGAATTCAGTTAAAACAGTTTACCAGCTTTCCATGAGTGGGTTCAGTTCACTGATCTTCATTCAAGTTCATGCTAAAGTTATTTAACTGCGGGCTGTACATTACACCACACCGACCAAAGAATTATAGAGGTTTTCCAGGTCTAATATACAAATCCATATTGATTGCAGCCAAATCTTTAATACACTCTATTAGGGTGTGAATAAGACTTTAAAGCTTTGTCTTAGCCAGAGGGTAGCTGGGCTAGAGTTGAACCAATCGTAAACTGCCAGAATAGAAAGTTACCTTGGGATGCAGTATGTATTCTCAACAGCGTATCATCTAGAACAACAAACTTTTTTTTAATGTAAAAATAAGCAATTACTTGTCATTATAAAATGACAAATTTTACAAGAGGGCAAATTTGGTTTTCTTCCCCTGAGAGGCTCACCTCCGTTACAGTGCTCACTGGCACATTCCTCACATTTGTCATTGGCTGTACCTCTGTGCCTAATGCTCCATTTTCCTAGAGCAAAACTGTCTTTCAAAACACAGGAAGAAATGCGCCAGCCATTTTTCCCACCTCCAGTTGAGGTAGGGGAAGTTTATCCCAACAGCCCTGCCAAGTAGTTGGCATGATCTGCATTATTCTAGGATAGCTAGACAAAGTTTAGAATGAGAAATGCAAAATACATCCTTGTGCTTTCAGGATTATTTAGGTTTTAAATGATTTAGAGTTCCCTTATATGGAAGGCTTTCTAGAAAAAGACTGGCTAAACCTGTTCCTCACTATAGCTGAGAATGCAGGCTCAGAAATTTAATTCAGCATTGGTTGCATTGTAGTGTAATAAATACAGGCTATGTGGGAGCTTCCTTGGGGCTTCCTTGGGGCTTCCTTGGTTTGATATGACTGTCTGGGATGTGGTTGTTAAAGGGACGGTTGGGGGGAATGGGAAACGGGAGAGTCTTGCTACTTTGGGGAGGGGCTAGGAAGGATTCTTCCAGTGGATGTCCAATACTGTAGACACTAGCCACGTGTGTCTGTTCCCAACTGAGGCATACTGTATGAGTAAAAGCTATACTGGGTTTCAATGACTTAGTATTAAAAAATGTAAGACATTTCATCAATAATTTTTACATTGATTGCATGTTGAAATTACCTGTGAAATAATTTGAGAGTGTATCGGGTTAAATAGTATTAAAATTGATTTCACCCACCTCTTCTTCTCTTTGAATGTGTCTACTAGAAAATTTAAAACTACATATATGGCTCACATTCTATATTTTCAGTGGACAGCACTGTACTGTATCCATTTTACATGGTGGACTTGTGGTGTTTACTTTCTTGCTTGTGTTTCTGTATTTTTCAAGCTGAAAGTATGTATAGCAGACAATATTGTGTTTTGAGAAAAAATATATAGCATGGATGGTGGAGTCTGGCAAGGATGTGTCCTAGCTATTGCACTTGGGCAACTAACTTTCTCTGAGCCTATACTCCGTCATTTGTTAAATTAAAAGAATAACTACTTTGACCTCACCAGGTCAAAGCTCTCCGGGTTGCTGTTAGGATTGAGAAATGCATGGGAAATTAGCAGAGTGCTTAGCACAGAAACTGGCATAGGAAAAACTCAGTAATAAATATTCTGCATTTTTGTAGGTTATATCAAAACACCCATCTGGCGCACAATGTGAAAATCTGTCTCCATTTCTAACTCAGGTCTTTGTCTCTCCTGTTCTACAAGTTTGTCCTTGCTATTATATCTACCTACTTTTACACCCAGAAAACCGAACTTCCCCTTCTTTACCTCATCATTGCGACTCTGAGTTGGTTTTCTGTTCGATTTGTTCACACTGAGCTTCTTCCCACTTAGTTACTTTAGCTCATTTTTGACTTCAGAGCAGGAATTTTATCCTGGCTACAAACCGCACCACAACTATCTACCCCTGCCCTTTGCCTTGTACCTGGAGGCTGGGTCTTGCTTTTTACTGAACTCTGCTGCTTTTGATGGGATGATCAGCAAAGGACAATTGACACCAGGCCAGTGCATGTGGGAAGCTGTCAGAAGAGTAAGGGTCATATAAACAAGAGATCAAGAGAACGAGGAGCAAAGACAGGACAGAAGAAAAGCAACGTTATCATTCTCTCCCCTTGTTTCACAAGCCTGCCTTCTCTTCTCACTGCCTTTGTCTGTTGGCTGTAAAAGCTGTGCTATGTTCAGCTCATGGTTAGTACAAGGTGTTTCTCATCGCCTTTCTAGATTCTCACCGCCTAAAGTACAACCTCCCACGGTATCGCACCGTTCACATCTAAAATGGCACTCAATTTCCATATTCTGGCCAATAACTCCTCAGATGAAGATGCTTATAGATGTTCTCTGAAATGCAGTGACAGGGAAGAGGAAAAAAAATATGCAAACTTTGTCAAAATATGTGGCTTCCTCAGGTATGGTCTTTTTCCTAGTTCCTTCAGAATTAATGAGCCTCTCAGTCAGAGCTGAATGAGATGCAAACAAGGAGCAGGAACTTAAGATAAATTTGGAATAGCACAGGTGGCTGGGGGCACCTGTACTCCTCAAAGAAGTGGGAAAAAAAGTCCCTGATTTCTTACCCATTTTTTTTTAAATCAGAAATATGTTTTGTTGTTGTTGTTGTTGTTCCTATCCAGCACCTGTAACTAGGTGATTCAGAATAAACTCTTGAATTAAGGTGGTATTTTTTTCACCATTTTTTCATCAGATCAATATGTTACCTCACCTATTTTAGTTTTAGATTTACTGGATGTTCTCAGGATAGCAAATTCAAAGAAAAAAATAAGCAAATTGGTTTATATTTCAAAGTTTAGACTGGGAGTTGACAGGAGAAACCTGTGCCTTGCTCACATATGGATTTGTGGAGGGTTTGAACACAGCTAGGGTCCCCTCCAACAGCAGGGAAGGAATACCCAGGCCAGTGCCTACAGGAGGCTCACCTCTGGATGTGTGAATGTGGCTGTTTGTTCCTGGAGCATTTATTGGCTTATCAAGACAGAATTTTACTCTGTCAGCCAGGCTAGAGTGCAGTGGCACATTCATGTCTCACTGTAGCCTTGACCTCCCGGGCTCAAGTGATCCTCCCACCTCAGCCCCACAAGTATCTGAGACCAGAGGTGTGTATGTACCACCATGCCTGGCTAAGTTTTTCTATTTTTTTTTTTTTTTTTTTTTTTTTTTTGTAGAGATAGGGTCTTGCTATGTTGCCTAGGTGGGTCTCAAACTTCTAGGCTTAAGTGATTCTTCTGCCTTGGCCTCCCAAAGTGCTGAGATATCAGGCGTGTACCACCATGTCTGGCCCCCATTTATTAATAAAATATTTACCATGGGTCATGGGTCATGGCATTCATTGCCAACTGTCACTTCCCTATGGTTTCCTAGACAGAGGATTGAAAATGTGAGTAAATGTTTCTTACTACGATTGAAATAGAGGAAGGAAGCATTTCTGAAAATGCAAATCCTGCTTTAACATAGCAGTTCTCTACAGGGGAATTTATTCTGGGTGTCTTGCTTCTTACAAAAAGAGAGCAAATGCTCCGCAGATACCCTGATCTTCCTTTTTTTTTTTTTTTTTTTTTTTTTTTGGTCACTGTAGCTAAACTCTCAAGAAACCTGTGATTTCAGTTGTTTGTGGTCTGTGTAGCATCTTTATCGCTGTCAGAATTGCAGAACTAGTGGTGGTTACATAAGTTGGAATACAAACATGTGGACATGCAAACAAATGTCCATGCAGTAAACATTTGATCTACAGAAGGGGCCTTTGAGTGGTCTCTTCCCTAGGGCCTGATTTCTTCTGGGCTGCTGACAGCACAGCTCAGAGCTGCAAAGGAAGGGAACATGTTACTGGCTGAACTTGAAGGAAGTTTTATATTTGCCATCTCTGAATAATTCTTTTTCCCTACATGAGGGTGGAAGAGATGATGAATCTAAAAGTGTCTGAAAGAAACACATGTGCTGTTGCAGATATGAGCATCACGATTATAGGTGTGCATACCTAGCATGTATATGTCCAGCAAACATTCTTGGTGACAGGCTATTCCTGATTTTGCTTCCCTTGAAACCGAATGCAAAACCGGTGTTATTAAATATGCTGCTTTGTTGCCAAAGGGACACTGCTTCCATTAGATTTAAAAATATCACTAGGTCGTCTTTGTGCGGACATCCTTTAAAATACAAACACTGCTTTATCTAATGCAGCTATACTGCATGTTATACATCTTTTTCTTTAAAACAAAAAGACAAAACTAGATTTATGGATAACATAAAATGCTTTCTGGATACACAAACACCAATGAAAACATTTTAAAAAAAATTAACAGACATCAACCGGTATAAATACACTGTCTAAAGCATTTAATGGTCTTTAACACAGTCAACTCCCTTGGGTTTGAAACAGTGTTAAATTCTCTCTTGCTTGTGGCAAAAGCTGTCAAGTCCAACACTGAAAAAATTGGTACCATTTCCTGGCCAGTAAGCACAGAACAGAGGGGCTAAATATTTTATGGTTTTATTTATTTATTTACTGTGTTCTCATGCTGTATTTTTCTCTTTTCTGTCTCTGCCTCCTGCTCGTGTCTGCCCAGGGCTGATTGTTGTGACATTGGCCGTATGCTGGATGCCCAACCAGATTCGGAGGATCATGGCTGCAGCCAAACCCAAGCACGACTGGACGAGGTCCTACTTCCGGGCGTACATGATCCTCCTCCCCTTCTCGGACACGTTCTTCTACCTCAGCTCGGTCATCAACCCGCTCCTGTACACGGTGTCCTCGCAGCAGTTTCGGCGGGTGTTCGTGCAGGTGCTGTGCTGCCGCCTGTCGCTGCAGCACGCCAACCACGAGAAGCGCCTGCGCGCCCACGCGCACTCCTCCACCGACAGCGCCCGCTTTGTGCAGCGCCCGCTGCTCTTCGTCGCGTCCTGGCGCCAGTCCTCTGCAAGGAGAACTAAGAAGGTTTTCTTAAGCACTTTTCAGAGTGAGGCCGAACCCCAGTCTAAGTCCCAGCCATTGAGTCTCGAGTCACTAGAGCCCAACTCAGGCGCGAAACCAGCCGATTCTGCCGCAGAGAATGGTTTTCAGGAGCATGAAGTTTGAATGAATGTCAAGTGAGGGAGCCTTGAGTGGGAACTGGCCCTCCTCCCCCAAGAAAACGTCACCCTCACTCTGCAGTCTCAAACTATGCCCCCATCGGGGACGGAATGGACACTGGAGGCTTTGCAAAAGGCAGATGCCCACCTCAGTGACTTCTAAGGGCTGACTCTGCCAGCATGGCCTTGACCCTGGTTACTCAGACATGGGGGTGAACTTTCACTCCACCTCCTTCCTTGAAGTACATACTGAAAATTCAGCCAGACTGAATTTATTCAGAATGCTTTACACTGCCTCATTATTTGCACAGGAACAAAGAGAGAACATGGACTCCCGCTCCCTACCCAGAATAAAAGGACACTCAGAAGAACCTCAGGGAGGTGGGGGGTTGGGGGCAAGGGCTGGAAGAACAATGCGGGAGGGGGTGGCATCTCCTTCAGCTTCAGCAGTGTGCCGAGAAGAGGGCTAATTTGAGGAGCAGGATGGTGGTGGGGAGCCCTGGCCTGAGGGCCGAGGCAGAACTTCCCCTTTTCTTGGGCCTTGGCCCGTTGCAAAGAGGGGTGTTGCAGCAGCTGATGCACACTGAGTTCAGTTTCCCTGGCGAGCAGAAGGACTGGTACCCGGCAGAGGCGATGAGACAAGCCGCTGATGACGCACAGGATTTGCGGTACATGATCCCTGCAACACAGACCCAAAGGAGCTGAGTTAATGTGCACTGGCAAAAAGGATACCTGTCCCTCTGTGTCCAAATCCGAATAGACGGCTCTTCCTTACTCCTCCCCCAGCCCAGAGACTTGGTGAGGCCAGGGAGGTGCTTCAGATTGTCTCACTGATACTCAAAACACACAAGATAGATGGTGAAAGAGACAGGCACTATTTCATTAGTTTTAACCAAACTGTTCCAAAAGCTATTTGAGATGCCAATACCAGTGAATAAAGAGCTGTTAAAATGTAGGTCTGTATAAGTCAGAGTTCACATTGTGTACAAGGCAGTTTTTTTTTTTTTTTGGTTCAAACTGTCTCATGCCAGTGAGGACCACAAGCAGTGCTTCTAGATCTTATCTCTGTTATTGCTTTATAAACGGCCACAGAGGGTTGGCTCTCAACTATGTGTTGATGAAATCCTGGGGTTCTGTGAAGACAGACCAAATCTCCAAGGGGAATAAATATATTCCTACTGAAGGGGCACCTGGCTGTGTGTCCCTCACAGTCTTAATTCTCAGATGCTCTACCCTCAGGACACATGGCCATCTGCCAAGCCAGCACCACGCAGCTAGCACTCAGTGACACACACTGGGTACAAAAAGGAGCTTCCCAAGACTACTAGGGGGCCTGTCTCAAGGAGCATGTGTGGCCTGTCCAGCTGCAGTGTAGTCATCAAATTAGGGTGTCTTAATCATTTGATTTCTTAAAGGTGGAAGTTTACTCAATTCGAATAATACTAGCTGAACTTATTTAAGGGCTTTCCTGTCTCCCAGGCCCTATTGAGACAGTTGTAGTGTCAGCTTCTTCACTACCCCAAGCAACCCTACGAGGGAGGCCCTCACGATCACTACCATTTTACAGATGCGAAGCCTCAGGGCCAGAGAGATTCAGGAACTTGCCCAAGGTCACAGGAAGTGGAGCAGCTGGGATTTGAAGCCAGCATTCTGGCTCCATGCTGCCAAGACTGTGTTACTGTATAGCAGCAAATTGGATTACCAATTAACTACAAAAATGGTGGGGATATTTTAGGGGGAGGGGGCTTTACTCTGAAGATAGCTTTTGTTGCGTGGGTATGTAAGTGGCTTTTTTTTTTTTTTTTTTGAGACAGAGTCTTGCTCTGTTGCCCAGGCTGTAGTGCAGTGGCACCATCTTGGCTCACTGCAAGCTCAGCCTCCCAGGTAGCTGGGACTACAGACACCCACCACCACATTGGCTAATTTTTTTGTATTTTTTAGAGTAGAGATGGGGTTTCACCATGTTAGCCAGGATGGTCTCAATCTCCTGACTTCGTGATCTGCCTGCCTCGGCCTCCCAAAGTGCTGGATTACAGGCGTGAGCCACCGCACCCGGCCATATATGTGGCTATTTTATATTAATGAATTATTTTTTTTGGACAGATAATATTTAATACTAAAACTAGACTTAGAATTCAGGTCTTAATCCTGTTTGCTGCCTTACACAGCTGAGGGATATAGCATCCTACTAGTAACCGGGTCTCCTTATCCACTCATTTCCTACAAGTGTATGGGCAGGTGTGGTTTTGGTTTTGGCTCCCTCCTCCTTGAGAATTGCCACTTTGGGTGCTGTAGAAACAGTAAGGAATGAAACTGCCTAGAACTTCCAAGCGGGAGGTAAAGAAGTACTTTAGATTTACCTTAAAACATGCAATTTTATGTCATTTTTCCCCCTCTAACTGCATGTTTGTAGGGACTGATTTTCTAAGACCATTACAAAATCCTGGAAGGTGGCTGCTGTGGTAAGCTAAAGCCGAGGTACAGAGGATGCCTGTATCTATGTGTGGGAGGCACTGTTTGATTTCTAAGCAATATACTTCAGGGCATTGCCCATTTATAGATTTCCCATAGTCTCTACATTTGCCATCCATGGCCCTTTTTAGGAAATCATTCTACTCTTTTGATTCCTAAGTATGAAAAACACTAACTGGCATTTATTTGCCACTTCCTCTACAATGAAGTTTTTTTCTTTAAGTGAATTTTTAAACTTAAAAAAAAAAAACTTACTGAATATGTTTTTCTCTTTAAAAAAGTCAGTAGTGTGAAAATGGCCCTTGAGTACCCCTGCCAGTTCCAGGCCCTCCACCGTGCTCCCCTGGAGGCAGATGCTGTCATCAGTGTGGCGTGCCTTCTTCCAGGCTGGTTTCTCTACATTTACGTATATGCCCAGGGAGAAATAAAGCCCGTGTGTTCGCACACATTTGTTAACAGTATCACATCCTATATGCTACTCTGCAATTTGCATTTTTATTCAGTGACATGGCTGGGAGCTTATTTTTAAGGCGAACTTTGCAAGGTTAAGGATCAGTGATGAGGTAGGTTAGTTGGATACATAGTGTATGTCATTATGAAGAGATGGACTAACAGAGCCATAATCTTTACAGCTGCTGAGACCCTCATATGTCATTAGTCAGAAACAATTCATCTTCATAAGTGGCACCATCTCTGCTCACTGAAAGTTCAGCCTCCTGGGTTCACACCCGGGAGAGGTACAAGCTCTCAAGTTGGTGGTTCATGAACTGAGGGCACCACAATGAGGTTTTCTGAAGGGTAAGGTTGACAGCTCCATAAGAAAAGGGGCATTTACTAGATGCTCCAAGAGGGAAGAAACAGGTATCTGAGGTCAGATAGGTGTGTCCATTGCCAGGATGGCTGCTCCAGGCCAGGCATCCTGAGGAGGCCCAAGGGCCAGCAGGCTTCTAGGCTTGAGGGCCATGAGGCTCAGGGTAGCTGTGGGCTCCTATGAGCCTCCCTTGCTTAAGGTCTAAGTCTGGAAACTGGCACGAGAGATGCTTTGGGTGAGACTGGAAGTGACTGAAGAGGTTTCTAACCAGATGAAAGGAAATGTGGAGCTAGGCATCAAGGTAAGTGACAGGCAACTGGCTGGTGTCGGGCTATGGAGGAGCTGACTTTGGAGACATTCAAGAAGAAAAAGTACGCTAGTTCTAAACTGGACAGTAGCAGAGGAAGCAGGGAGGAGTTGTTGCGCTAATAGAAATCGGGAAATTTGAGATTAAAGAGGGCTGTCAGAAAACAAAGGCATGTTACTTATCCTCTTGATGACAATTCACGTGGTGGAAATAACACGGTGCCTCCTTTGAGAGAGGTGGGATGGGGCCGAGTGGCGAGGCTGGGACAGAGGGACTGATATGTGGAAAGGCTGATGTTTGCAGTCTGCAAAGAAGTGGAAATAAGCCACCTCTCCCACGGCTTCAGATAAAGAAAAACTGTCCAGGTTCGTTGTAGGCACTTCAGCAGGCAGGCTGGCATGGGAACGGAGGTCCAAGGACAAACGGGGATGGTTTTGGGGAATGCTGAGAGCTGCCCTGTGAGGAACATGTGATTGAAGACCACACAGGCTGCCAGGTAGCTTTAAGAAAATGCCCCTGGGGTTTAGACACGAATGGCTGCCTGCACGGATACAACTGGGGAAGAAAGACTCGGAGGCACCAAGGAAGAGAGGGGTGTAGAATAAAGACTCACACTGGAAGGAAATAAGGAATGCTGCCAGGTGGGGAGGGGCCCAATGAGGACTTAGAACTCCTGAACAGTTCCATCATTCACATGCTTAGGATAAATTCCAGGTAGATCTAAGATTTAAATGTTGGGGGGAAAGAAACCCATAAAAGTACTAAACGACACTTTGGAACCTTGGGAGTTTTATGTAAGAGTTGTAAAGGCCATTCTATGACATGACACAATGGAACCTTGAAGAGTTTGCTATGAGACATAAAGAAATTCATTCTGCCCAGCCACAAAACACCCAGACACCATTACAGAAAATACTGAAAAATTACACTATACACATATACACACAAACTCTGCCTAATAAAATGCCTATACATAGGATAAAAAAACAAGTGAAATATTTGAAAAAAAAAAATTGTAATTCCAATCACAAGCAGATTTCCTTAATATGTAAAAAAGGTCACCAAAATCATGAAGATAAATATTAATCCATTAAGAAATAAATAACAACAGAAAAATAGAAAGCAAATGGACAGTGGAACCTTGGGAGTTTTATGTAAGAGTTGTAAAGGCCATTCTATGACACAACACCCAGACACCATTACAGAAAATACTGAAAAATTACACTATACACATATACACACAAACTCTGCCTAATAAAATGCCTATACGTAGGATAAAAAAACAAGTGAAATATTTGAAAAAAAAATTGTAATTCCAATCACAAAGCAGATTTCCTTAATATGTAAAAAGGTCCTAGAAATCTGTAAGGAATAAATAATAAATCAGTAAGGAATAAATAACTCATTAGAAAAATAGAGAAAGCAAATGGACAGTTCACAGAAAAAGAAACAGAGCTTTGAAACACATGAAAAGATACCCTCTCGTATCATAAGAAGAATGCAAATTAAAACTACACTGAGATGTCACTATCACTTGGGCAGAGACTTAAAAGTTTATTACGAACACTGTGTTAAAAGTTTATTATAAACACTGCGTGAGTCTTAGAAAAAGGCCCTTTCCCACATTGTTGGTTAGGAGAGTAAATAGGTATAATTTCCATGAAGGCAATGTGGCAATAGCTATCAACATTGCAAATGCATGTACTCTGTGACCTGGCAATTCCACTTTTATGTATGTATCCTACAGACATATTCACATACATACACAATGACTGTACACAAGGTTATTCATGGTAGAGTACAGTGTCATGGCAAAAGAAAAGACCATCACTCTATCCATCACCAGGGCACTGGTAAACTTCCAGTGTCTTATCTGCACAATGCAATTCCACAAAGCCACAGAAGAAGATACTGAGTTTAAAACAAAGCAAAGTATGTCTGGACAGTTCCTTCCTTCCTTTTCTCTCCCTCCGTTTTTTTTTTTTTTTTAAAGAGTTTGTTTCTTACTATGCTTCAGATGCAGTTTTAAGAGCTTTATGAATATTAACTCATTTAATCTTTGTAGTAACTCTAGCAAGTAATCCTCATT